TAAGTCTCAATCAAGATTAGTAACACAGGATAATAATATCCTAATTGTGTTCATCCTTGTGATAGGTGCAAAAGTCTCTGATAGTTAACTTCATAGGTTGAGTAAATCCTTTAGCCACTAGTTTAACTTTTTACCTTTCAATCGTCCTATCTGCTTTATGTTTTGTAGTAAATACCCACCTGTAACCAAACATCTTCTGCCCCTGTGGGGGATGAAACAAGTTCTCATGTTTCATTTTTTGATAATTCTTTCATTTATTCAGTCATTGATTCCTTTTATTTGAGATTTCCCAGTGCTTCTCTCCAATCCTGTGGAATAGACACAAAGGAAACAGATAAAACAAATACGCTATGAAAGGAAGATAGAGAGTCATGGGAAACAAAATTACATATAGAATGCTTAGTGCGAGTTTTGATTCCTTTTCTATGAATAATGGGTTTATTAGATAAATTACAAGTTAAAAATGGCTCACTAATATTTTCAGGAACTGAAGAAGATTCTTGATCTGCGATAGATTGCATGATGACTTTTTGTGTCTTATCTTTCATTGAATACTTCTTCAAGTCCGATTTATCTAGGCATATGGTATTTTATTCTTGAATAAGATCTTCTGACATACAATTCTCCCCCTGAATAAGATTGTCAAGGGTTACCGAATTGGACATCACCTCTTCCTTCTCACTCTCCCTCTGAAAGAGTGTTTGGATGGAGCTGAAGTATGATTCAGATTCTTTAAAAGTAACATATATAGTCACAAAATATTTTTTAGACGGTGGATGATAACACTTGTACCCCTTTTGGATAGGAGAATACTCAACAAATATGCATATGAGAATTCTAGACTCCAATTTACTCACATTTTTAATATGAACAAAACAAACACATTCAAACACGTTTTAGGGGAACAATATAGGAATTTTTATCTTGCAAAACTTTCATAGGACTTCTAAAATTTAGGATTCGCAGAGACATTCTATTAATAACTTATGCAATTGAGAAAATTGCATCTCTTCAATAACTTTCAGTTAGATTCATGGTGAACATTAGAGATTGAGATACTTCCATTATTTGTCTGTTTTTTCTTTCAGCAACTTCACTTTCTTCATTAGTGTAGGCACAACTTGTTTAGTAAATTATTCTATTTGACTTTAAATAGGTACGGAACCTACTTATCCATATGTTTTATACCATTGTCAATTTTTAGAACTTTAAACTTTAACATTAAATTGTGTACATATTATTTTATGAAATAATTGAAAGCATGAAAATACATCACTTCTTACTTTCAACAGGTAAGTACATGTTAATCGAGTACAACAGTCAATAAAACTAATAAATCATCGATGATCAGGTAGAGAAGTATTATGAGTAGGTTCCCATACATCAAAGTGAATAGTTAAAAAATGATTAGATCTTCTATTATTAATCAAATGATGAGAACTCCTTTTATGTTTAACAAGTTCACATGCATCACAAACAAAGAATTTATGTAAGTTTTTTTAGATAAATTAGAATATAATTTTCTAAAATAAAAAAAAAGGGTACCCGAACTGCCAGTGCCATTGTAGTATTTTCATATTGACTTCCTTATTCTCAATGGTTGCTTGATTTCCAATTAGGTTTTGATTTTTTTTTTTAAGACATATAAGCAATCCTACAGTTTACCAATGCTAATTCACTTCTTTATTCGAAAATCCTGAAAGATACAATAATAAAAGAAAAATTTAATTTTACAGTTTAGGTTTCTAGTAATAACACTAATAGATAAAAGACTATTAGGAAAAGTAGGTACATGCAAAGTTTAAGACAGTGTAATAGTTGAAGTACAATTAATGGAATCTGTTCCAGATACAGGAGTGTATGACCTATCTATTATACGAACATTTTTTCATTTAGTAGAAAAAAAATAGGTTAAAAATTATGGGGAAGAGTTTGTCATGTATCTGCTAGCTCCAAAGTATATAATCCAAATATTAGGAGTGAAAGTAAGAGGGAGGAAAAGAATGTCTGATTTTACTATATTTAATGCATCAATAGTTATTAAAGAGTTAAGTTGAGATAGAATATAGTTTAGACTTTGAATCTCTTCGGTTGAAAAAACTCCAACTGTTGGCACTTCATATGCTTCACTTGTCTCGACCAAGCTTGCTTGAGCTCTCATAAATCCACCTTTCTTTCCCTTTCAATCTCTAGTGGGTCGTTCATGCAATTATCTAGTAAGTTTCTTTAGTGTGTCTTGACTTGTTACAACAGTTGCAATTCCATTGGTTTTTGAAGTGATCAGACTGAGCAACTAACCCAGGTTTCTCAGCTGGTACTTTGTGGAACATGACATCTCTTCTACTCTCTTCTTATTGAATATAAGAATAAGTTCTAATGAGGAAAGGTGGTCCTTACCAAGTACCTAGACTCTTATTTGATCATATTCCACATTCAGACCGGTCAAGAAATTATATATATTCTCATTTTCTATCATTTTTTAAAATTTGACTGCATTTTCTGGGTAATCTGTTTGAAAATTTTGGTAATAATCGAGCTGCTGCTATAGTCTATTGACTTTAGAAAAATATTAAAAGATAGTCATTTGTCATTACTTTATGCTGTGAATTTTGTATGGAGTTCATAGATTTGAGCATCATTACCCACTTGTGAGTATGTAAGAGACAATACATTTCATATTTTTTCTGCAGTATTGAGCAACAGATATGTTCGGGTAATGTGAGGTTGCATAGAATTGATGAGTCAAGACATTATCAAGGCATTTTTAGAGTCCCATCTGTTATATTCCAAACTGCTGATGTTTGGTTTCTTCACATTATCAGTAATATAACCCTGTAATTCTCTAGCTTTAATGAATAGTAAAATTTTTTTTTGAGCAAACAAGATAATTAGATCCATCAAGATTTATGACTTGTTTGTAGTGGTGGGTTATCAGAATTAAGAATAATCAATTTCTTTGCTTATGTCATATTTGAGTACTAGAAACAAGGAAAAATAATACCCACTGAATATCGCAGAGATAGAATAAACTTCCTAAACACCACAAAGGCCCAAAAAAAATTGCTACGAAACCAGAAAAGATAACTGGAATCAGAAGCTGAATCAGAAGCAGAAACTGAAAAACCCAGAGGAGACCTTTGCACAAATCAGAAGCTGTTCGCGAGGAAACCCGGTGTAGGAGCAATGGTCGTGCGCGAAACAGAAGCTGTGCAAGAGAACCAAACACTATGCGCAAACTAGAACCCGTGCACGAAGGAACCCAACGGAGGAGCAACAGCCGTGCGCGAACCAGAAGCTGCGTGCGAGGGAACCAGACACCATGCGCAAACCAGAAGTCGTGCACAAAGGAACCCGACGAAGGGGCAACGGCTGTGCACGAAGGAACTTGAAGATGGGTCGGGTCGGGCATGCGCAACCTAGAGAAGGAAACAGTGCGAACCAGCGGCCTTGTGCGAGGAAGCAGCATGAACAAAGGGGTGCGACCGGAGCAGAGGAATCGAGTAGGGCGGAGAAGGTCACTGCATTAGGGCGGTAGGTCACCGGTGAAGGTAGGACTCCATTTGGGTGGGTGGTGAGAATGTTTTAGAATTCGAAAAATTTAGGAAAAAAAATATTTACTTTATTTCATTCACTTTGGTGTCACAGACCACACATATATATACAAGAATTTTTTCGTACAAATGAGGAAATTATTTTTATAGTAGAGATTCTAAATAATTACAATCATTATGGGAGAAATTAATGGTAGAGTTATATGGGAAAAAATATCACACTTATTTAACCAACAAAATATTTATGTAAACAATATATCAATGTCAGAGGGCAAAGAATTATTAAAAGTTACTTCATTTCCCGAACTTGAATAAGATCTTTGAACTTGCTTCGGTTTAGGATTCATATTCTTCCTTCTTAAGTACACCTAAGAGAATCTGAGGTCTTGTGGGTATTAGTGCTGGTTCATTTTGTAGGTTTTGAAGTAATGGAGGAGGGTCATTTTTTGAGTTGTAAGGCAACTGAGGAGGGTCATTTGTTGGTTGTGTAGAGGGCAAGGTAATGTCAGTGAAGAACAAGTTCTTGTCTTATAATACTGAGCCTCCCTGAAAAATAAGACTGGCTAAAGTAGGACTTGGTTTAAAAAATGCTACATCTGCAGTATATAGAATTTTTTTTTATAGGTGGATGGTATCATTTTAGCCTTTTGATTGGAACAGTATTCCACAAACACACACTTCATAGCTCTTGGCTCCAGTTTCTTTCTTTGATGTGATGTATGGGAATAAAGGCAACGTACTAAAGTATCTTAGTATAAGATGGTTTGTGATACTGACCTGTGGATAAAATGTAAAAAGAACTTTCATAGGATTCTTTTAAAGTCCAACATTCTAGATGGTAACTGGTTAATAAGGTTGACAACAATAAGAACGGCTTCCTGTCAAAATTGTTTAGATTTATGGTTTTAGAACAAGAAAGCTCCAGTATTGAGAAGTAAGTGACTATTTTTTCTTTATGCCATTCTATTTTGTTATAGAGTGTGGATACAAGAAATGGACGATTCTTTCTTTGTAGAAAAAGGAGGATAGCGCTTGATTGAACAAGTCTTTAGCATTGTTTTGGAACAATTCACTGTCAATTGAGGCTTAGTCATATTGTAAAACTGCAGAAGCATATGACTCATATATGATTTTAACTTGAGAGAAAAAAGTAAGGTGACAATTGTACAATTATCTACATGTGACTATGAATTAAATAAAAAAGAAATGTTACTTCTTTTATTCCTGACAGGAAATATGTCATGCTTATGTTTAGGTAGTTCACTTACATCTTATTTGAGTTTTAAATACGATAGGAGCATAACCTTATAGATAAAAAAAGATGAGTATCAAAGTCTTTTATGATGTAGCCAAATCTTATTTGTAGTCGTAATAGATAAAAAGCAGTTTATTAACTCAAGTGCATTCAAGAAATATAATTTTTTACTTAACTCACCATGTCTAATCATCTTCCATGAGTTGTGGTCTTGAACGGCATAATAAGAAGGAAAAAATCACTTTGCAATTCAAGATTTTAGTCAGTGATACAATATTTATGTATGGTATGGGGGCATCAAGTATATCTTTAAGAGTAAAATGGGGGTTAATCCTTATATCAGCAACTCCAACTACCTTGGTTAGTGAACTGTCCACAGTGATTAAATTCTTACTACTTGGATAAGAAACTTATGTACCAAAGTAGTGCGAGGAATTTACCATGTGCTCGATGGCTACTGAGTCTATTGTCAATGATAATGCTAGGGTCTATATGAGGCATTAAACCATGTAAAATAGAAAACTTACTTGAATGTGCCAATAAAATTTACCTGCGGGATTTTCCAGAGACTTGACATGAGTTTTTAGCTATTCAATTTCTTCTTTGAATTCCCTATATATTAACGTCTTTTCTTCCATTTATTGATTTGTCAAGTGGGCCTGTTCCTAGGGCTTATGTAGGGCACTTTTGTATTCTCATTCTTTGCTTTGAATCAAGATGGTGAAGTAGTACAAAAAATTTTCTTATATAGTGGCAAGGAGTTCGAGCGATCTTAGTGACTATGTTTTTTTTGGGGACCATTATTGACATTTTAACTTATTAGTAAGGGCTGTATATATTTGGATTGCACCCATTGGTACATTGTTAATATATCTCTTTTTCCTGGAAAAGCTCTCATGTAACCAACCATAGTTGCCTTTCTAGACTGTAACTGTCAGTGCTTCTTGGCAATATTGTGGAATAGAAAGATAAGACAACAACTACATAGGAAAGTGGTAATGAATTTGTTACAGTCCCTTGTTTAGGATTAGGGTTTTTTTTTTTTCTGAAGTAATGTTTAGGATTAGGTTATGGATTGACATACACTGAATTTAGAGTTTAGGAACCTTTGGATCTCTAGAAAACTCAATTAGGCTAAATGTATTCTTTTTTGCATTAAAATATCACAAAGGGTTTGAATCTGCTTTTGCTTGTTCTATCTTTCTCTCCTTTTTGTTTTTGGTATATACATTTTATCTTAACTGACGCTTTAGTGATTAATTGTTTTGTTGAGGCTTAATTGTTTGTTTTTCTCGTTTCAACCTGCAGTAACTGAAGACTTCTCGTGTCCATTTTGTTTGATACAAAGTTCAAGCTTTAAGGTAGGTATTGAGCTAAGAGGATTACTGAATTTATTCTATTCATAAGCTAAATCATTTGGAAAGGTTGTTAAAAATATTCTTATTCTGAAGGCAGAAAAGGGAAAGAGAGTGCAGATGTGAGTTTAGGTCCAGTGGATATGGGAGGGGCTTTATTATCATGCTTGTCGTCATTCAAAAGCATATATATTTTTTTCCTTCCTTTCCATGTTTTTTACTTGAAAATAGAAATCTTGCTTTCGAAATTAGAAAGACCTCTTTCTAAATAACCTCAAATTAAACACATGTTTTCTGTTTTCCATTACTGAGAATTGCTTTGCAACTTTATTATGGAAGATAAAATGGAAAATAGAAATAGAAAACATACTATAGAGGCAGAAGGTTCTACATGGGACATGGCCTCATGTTTTTACATGAAAATACTTTATTAGATTCACATCTTTATTTCACTACAGTTGTCTACCCAAGCTTCCTTTGGTTGAGAAATCACTTCAGTTAAAGAAGCTGGAATTCAAATAGAGAAAAAATTATGTGTTATAATGTTACTTGTCCTATGTCGGGAGTATTTTTCTAATTTGTATGATTCTTTTTATTTTTTGATTGTAAAAGAATTTTTTTGTTTGCATTAAGAATGATTGATATGTATTTTATTGAATATCACAACCATATATATATAGATTTTTTAGAATAGAAAAAGTGACATCTGCAGGCACAATTTTGTGGGGGTGGATGATAATATTTGTATCTTTTTTAAGAAAGAGGAGTACCCAACAAACATGCATTTTAAGGTCTGGAGATTTAGTTTCTCTCTTTGATAGGAATGAATATGAATAAGGCCAAAACACCAAAATATCTGAGGGACTAAATGGTTTATGACACTTACTTTTGGATAGAATTTGGAGAGTCATTCTAGAGATCTTTTGAAATCTAGAACATTGCAAGGCAAACGGTTAATAATATAGGTTGCTATAAGGACGGTTTTGCCCCAATATTGTTTTAGAATGTGGTTTTGGAAGAGAAAAGCTCTTGCTGTGGCTAGAAGATAATTATTCTTACATTATGCTACTCCATTTTGTTATGGATTATGAATGCAAGATGATTTGTGGAGAATCTTTTTCTTGGTAGAAAAATGATAAGAGTGTGTGATTAAAAATTTTTTTGGTGTTGTATGCGGATTCCAAATTGGATTTTTATCATGTTGCAAAACTAAAATATGATCCGGCTAAATGTCGGTTTGACTTTGAGTAAGAAAATTCAGGTGACTCTAGTGCAATCATCAATAAATGACATAAATCATTGAGATTTAGAAGTATTAGGTGTGTTGATCAGTCCCCAAGTGTCAATATAACTTAATGAAAAAGGAACTAAGTTTCTTTAATTGTTGATCAAAAATATTATATGCTTATGTTTGACAAACTTATAAATTTCACAATATAAATTTTCATATTTTAAATTCTTAACTAACAAGAGAAACATAACCGTCCAAATCTTTTATGGTAGACCCAACTCTTGTGTATAGGGTTGATAGTAACAATAGATAAAGATCTCCTAGGTGCATCCAAGTAGTAAAACCGTTTCTAGCGTCAACAATCATCCGCCTGAGTTCTAGTCTTGAATGTCGTAGTGAGAAAGGAGAAATGTTACTTTGTAGTTCAAGTTTTGTGATAATTTATTAACTGACACAAGATTTGTACACGGTTTGAAAACATACAACATATTTTTTATAGCCAAGATAGGACTAAACTTAATATTGCTTTCATCTATAATAATATTGAGAAAACCATCTGCAATGAAAATTTTCTTATTACTTGGATAGAGAATATATCTACGAAAATGTTTATAAGTATTAACCATATAATTGGTGACTCCTGAGTATACAATCTAAAAATCTTCAAATGGTTTATTTGAGACGTTTGAACTTTGTGAAAAGGAAAACATACGTGAGTGATTTATTACTCCTGTGCCTATGAGTTTCTTAAGATCCTCAAATTGACTTCATAGTCGTTTAATCTCAGATTTGAAAGCAGCGAAATTAGTAGATGTTCCTTTCTCACACTGGTTGGCCGTATTAACCTGTTTGGGAATCTTCTATGGAGTAGTTTTGTATCACCACTCCTTCGTGGAGGTATTTGGCTTGCCATGCAGTTTCCAATTTTTTTTTTCGTTGTATCTGAATCTTTTGCAAAAAGTACATCGAAGATTGTTCTTGTTGTTCACTGCAAGAGATGAGTTCTCAGCAAGACTCATTTCCTTTGTCTGATGGTGAGGTATAGAATCTCATGAGATCATAGTTGAGCTGTCATTAGGGCGGGTTTCTAGCATGATTGCTCTTCTGCTCTCCTCCGAAGTTATAACGAAAATTACGTTATTGAGTAATAACATTTTTCTTTCCCAAGATTTATATCCGTACTTAATCATATTCAAGATTTAATTATGCCAGAAACTAATATACACGGTCTTTTTTCACAACTTTTTTGAGACGAATTGCATCTCTACCACAATCTGGTACTGGTTTAGTTCCTGCCACCAGGTTTTTAAATATTAGAATATATATTGATTGAGCTGTTCCCTTACTTGATAGGCTGCGTCTTTACAATCAAGTCATAAATCTATGCAGCTTCCTTGACCGTGGAGTTGGTTTCGTCAATTACATCCTATAATTCTTTTGTTGTGTGCAGAAACATCACGGGTTTGTTGATTTCTGGAGTCATAGAATTCGAAAGCCGTGCTATAATCATTGGATCTTTGTCATCACAAAGATTGAAGGTTGACTCTCTGGATTTTGGTTTGGTACTCAGAAAATGGCTGAGTTCGCCTTTTTCCTTGAGGGTGGTATGGATTGACTTATTTGCGTTTGCCGCAGTTAATCCTTACTTGTGAAATGATAGATAGTCTGGATTAACTGAAATTCACTAGAAGAATTCCCTATGTGGGAGTGTGTTCCAATGTTATGGGATTTTACTTCTGACATCCTTTAATATTTTTATGGCAATTAGGGCCAAATAAAAAATTATAGGAAGAATTTTACCATGAGGTTGCACGATTGCATGTATTTAGCTGGAGCGGTTGCTGTGAAAGCTACTGGCTTGCAGTTTACAGCTTCCACGTGTGGGACTAGGCACGACTGGGTATAGGAAGGGAGTTGCGACTTGCGGCTCTGTGTGGACAGAATCTGGAGTGGAGCTGACGAAAGAATCTGGATGTGTGGCTGGGAAGGCCACTGGGACTAGGCATGGTTGGGTGCAAAAAGGGAGCCATGACTTGCAGCTCTGTGTGGACATTATTTGGAGCGGAGCAGATGAAGGAATATGGATGCGAGGTTGAGGTGGAAGGTTGTGCGATTGACGGCGCAGAGGTGGGGAGCAGCCAGTCTCTGTGGTTGGTGTAACAGGCCTGCGTGTGGTGGAGCAACCATGTCTGAGCAGCAGGTTGAATCTGTGTGGCTGAGTAGTAGGGTCATCGCACGTAGGGGGAGCCTTGATTGATTACTGGTGTTGACGATAGATCTTGGCAGTTGGTGATTGATGGTTGGTGGCGGCCAGTGGTTGGACAATGATATCCAAATAGAATTTTAAAGAGTCTAAGGTTTTCTAAGTTAGGGTTCTAATACCATGTTAAGAATAGTTAATATGTATTTTATTGAATTTCACAACCCTGTATATACAGGTTTTCTAGAATAAAAAAGAGAAATAAACAATTAATTACATAGAGCACATTTTACCCTATACTCTTTAACCTAATTTGCAATTTTGTTAACTGGTTGTGATGCCATAACTGTGCCTGGGTTGATTTCAGTTACATGTACTCAGCATTGATTATTTTTATATGAATGTATCTCAATATCGAACTCAGAAAAGCTTCTCCATTTTGTTTTCTGCAGGGTCTGAGATATCATTTGTGTTCTTCACATGACTTATTCAACTTTGAATTCTGGGTTGGTAGTTTATAATATCAAGCATTTAATGCATGCTGCTAGGAAGATAGTCAAGAAATCTGTTTTCTTTTTTTGGTCCTCCCTGCAGTTAAAAGAAGAGTACCAAGCTGTGAATGTTTCTGTGAAACTTGAATCCTTGAGATCTGAGGTCAGTACTTTAGGCTCATCCTGGAAATTTAAAACCTTTTAAAATTTTTTTAAATTTTAATTATCCTGTCTTTCCTTTTTTTTCCCATATTAGCTTCATATTGAACTTTGAATATAAATAACAAACTAGGGATGATTTTCTATAAGCATAAATGTTTTAAGTAAAAAATATCGCTGTTTTATACATGGTATTAGAACTTTGAAGATTTCAAATCTTGTTTGTTTTGTTTTCATTAGAATTAAACTTCATGGTTCGGTATTTTGTGCTTATGAGGTAAGTGAAAAAGGAGTTACAAGTATAATGGGCTTATTTCATAACATTAGGGATCATATTGTTGAATGGGAAGTGTGTTTTCTTATGGAGGAGGAGGAATTAGGTTACATTGTTGATGTGCTAACCAATATATAAATCTTTTGTATACGGGTTGTGCCCCCTGGCACAAATTCTTAATACAATTCTCACACTTTTATTTCAAAAACAAAAAAAATGGAGCAGGAATTAGATACTGCTGATCTAGTAGCCCAGAACCTTGCATTAATAGCCAAGTAGTTAAGCAGGTTTTTGCTGGACTCTACTTCGTTGTGGCATAGGGCAGTGAAGGGTAACTTTGGGCTGCATTAAAATGGTACAGATACCAAATTTGGAACATGTTACTCACAACAAACCACTAGAAATCTATTGCAATGGGCTATTATTAATGTGATTGTTTTGTTAGGTAGGTGTCCTCCTTACTTTTCTGGCAAGATGGTTGGGTGGGGAAGAACCCTCAACTGAGATTTCCCCAAAACATAGACTTTCCATAAGACATTACATTCCACTTACTTCCTTCGTCGACCACCATGATGTGTCACCTTTGTTGGAACCTTTTCTTCTTAGACATCTCTATGAATGAGTGTGGTGAATCATTAGAATTAATGTCTTTGAATACCTTTTTGGAGAATCATCCTCACACTTGCAATTCGATAGAGTGATAAGAGTCATGAAGTTGGGAAATAACTTTCAAGGGACTCTTGTAAGATAGTGGCTTTAGTATCCTAGTAATTCTTGTGCCACAAAGAGTGAGGTTTTGTAGGGAAATACCATAACCATTACTTGATAAAAATTAGTTTTCACACAAGGTTCCCAATGCCTCTGCGTCCATTGCTTTTTTGAAGATAAACTATTTCCATTTGACCAAGTGATATCTCTCAGACTCGCCCACACCTGATTAAGGAAAAATCTCATCACTATGTCCATTTTCTCAATCACACCCCTATGTCTTAAATAACGAAAGATAATATATGAGTCATACCAAAGAGAAATGACTAAATGGAATCACCATGTTGGATATTTTTTGAGACTATCTTGGGTTGGCGTATTAACAATTTGGTAAGAGTGGTCTCATGGGCATTAATGTCAAGAGCTAGCTTGTATTGGCTCTTATGTATTCTACGGGGGTGTGATGTATTAGAGTAGCCATTTACTTGCCTAAGCTTTTCACTTTGTGGGAATCCTCGATCTTGTTACTTTTGTGATCTTGTGGTTTGTGAGTTCTCCAAACATTAGGAGTATTGGAAATGTGATCTTTTCTCCCTTGCAGATAGGGTTACTCTTGTTCAGTTGTGTTTGTCTATTACCCGATTGTACTTCATCTCTCTTTTAAAATCTCAAAAGGGATAACTAATAAGATTGAGAGGGTGCTTAGATCTTTTCTTTGATCAAGATTGAGTGAGTGTAGGAGAGATAGAGATCACTTAGTTAATTAGGGGAGAAGTTGGAGTGGCGAAGAGGGAGGTCTCGGTAATTGGAATAAATTGTCTCCTTTAAGTAAATGGTTATAGAGATTTCATATGGAATCCTATTATTTGTAAACAAAGTTATAAAGAGCAATTCCGAACCTCACCCAGCACGAGTGAGATTCTGAAGTCATTGTTTGGAGCACTTATAAGAGTTCGAGAAGACTATTTATGATGGAGCTTGGTATGGATTAACAATGTTTCTCTTGCTTCTCTTTTCTCGAGCTCTTATCTATTGATTAATAAGTATTTTTCTCCCATATCCTGTGTTAGGATTCGGTAAAATAGTTTTCTACCTTCGGATTTGGCTTTCTTAAGAAATCTTAACCATTTTGAAGCAAAAGCATGGCTAGTACAATCTCTTAATTCTATGGAATTTTCTTATCATCCAGACTATAGGATCTGGTATTTGGATTTCTCAGGTTTGTACTCTCGTAAACTGTACATGCTTTTCCTGGCGCGATTCGTTATATAGAGTAGTCCTCTTTGTAAGCCCTTACCTTCCCCTTAAGGTGAAAGTTTTTGTTTCGAGCACATTTGACAATAGACTTTAGTACTATTATTTCCTTTAACAACATAGGTTGAATCATGCTTTGTCACCAGGGATGTATGTGATGTGTTATCATAGTGCTGAGACTCATAAGTATTCTTTCTTGCATTGTGGGATGGATTGGAGAATATGATGCTAGGTTTTGTAGACTTTAGGCATCTCCTATATTTCTTTTAGTATGTGTGAGGGTTTTCTTTCTTTTGTGTTGTTGGGCCCAATAATGAAGAGGGACCTTAAAGCTCTTTGGTATAGGACTATATTCGAGGTTATATGGTGATCTTTTTGGAGCGGACTGCAAGAATCTGTCAGAATTCATGTATAACCATTTTTTGTTTCTTTAGGATAAAGTTTATTTTTTATTTTCTTTACGTGCCAAGGTTAATGGATACTTCAATGATATTTCTTTATCAATTTTAAGCTGAGATTGGCTTGCTCTTCTTTCTTCTGATTAGCTAACTTTTCTCCTTTTTTTTTTTTTTTTTTTTTCTCTTTTGCATTTTGGACGATACTGAATCCTTCCTATGTGGATCTCTTTCCTCCTTGTAATATGTAATCGTTTTGATAACAAAAGCTTAAATCAGATTGACCTTCTTTTCTAGGGCTAAAAAGCACCATTGTACAACAATGAAGGACTTATAAACCACAGGCAACACTCTTCAAGATTGGTCGTATATATCATGTGTGCCAATCTTGTTACAAATAAACTTCTATAAAGACTCGGAATTTAAAAGAAAATAAAATCATAAATTGAATGCAGAAGCGTAATAATGGAATTAGGGTTTACATTTTTTACACAATAATTTAGAATGCCCAATATGGATACGGGAATGTACCTTTTAAAAAAAAAAGTGAAAATTAAAGAAATAAATGAAAAATAAACAACTGAGCATCCTAAGACGACCTTCACTACCTTTTGAAGGGAGTTCGGATGGTGAACTATTTACAACCTTTTTGTTGATCAGAATCTGGATCTTGGTCATTTTGATCTAAAATAGTTAATGAAAGGGTGAGTTACAGTAGCCCAATAAGAATATCACACTACTCACCAGTACAGAAACTGAAGGTTGGTAAAAATTATAAAAATAACCAATTGAGATATTAATTTAGGTAAATTCATTTATTATAAATAAAACAATTTATTGCATATTTATCGTTGCGAGATTTCTAAAACCAAACTATAGAGATAATAACTCCAATAACATCATAATCTTATATTTATATGAGTAATGACAACAACTTTATCTTTTTATTTGCTTACTGGTATCCCTGGGGGTCCATAGGGATGTCCCACTATGCGTGCAATATCTAAACTTATCAACTAATCAGCCATACCCCGTTCGGTATGAGCGCCAAAATACCATTCCTTGATGTTCTATCTGGTATGAAGGTGAGTCGGGCCAGCCCCATACCCCGTCCGGTATGAACGCCAAAAATACCATCCCTCAATACCCCGTTCGGTATGAGATAATGTTCACGATAGGGTTCCTTATGTATTCGGTCCGTCCACCATCTCGTAAGATATCCAGTAAGACAACTATTCATTAATTCTCTTAACCAAACAGTTTTTCCGTTTACAAATTAATTTTCAATTTTACAAATTAACCGTAAATCATGCAAGACAAATAATACATGTATCAAGGAAGCACAACTAAGTCATTTAACCATTTCAGTATATTATCATGCATTTAAAGCTGTAAAATCAAACAATCAGTTAAACTGGACAAACAGTAAATAATTAACCGGTTCCGGCTCCATTAGTAATCTGTAATTATTCTCAAAGTTTTTTAAATTATACAAAATACTATATTATCGATTATTAAGGTTCAATTTTATAATAGAGAATAAGATTAGGAATTCTTATTCGAATTGGTATCCGCAACACCGAACTTTCTAGTGCGCTTACTGCTGGTCTCCGATTTTCCTAAATTTTTCTACGGAGATTAAAATACACTTCGCGTATATAAAAATACACCAAAACCCCAAAATCGGTGTTAAAATCTTTTTTTGGCCAATTTCGGGGTTCCGACACAGCATTACCGCCGTGCTCTGGTGACGACACCGTCGTGCTCCGGTGACGGCACCGTTGCCCGCAGCGGCGGATT